AACCCATTCACTTTTGTAATGTATATGATCTTATTAAAAGATTAATTTCAAAAAAAAATTTTTTTTTGGAGAATTTTTAATTCTAAGCATAAATTTTGAACGAAAACTTATTATCACTTACCGCTCATGAAATACACAATAATTGCATAACAAAATGGAAGTATGGTATATTCTGGAAGCTAAAACAAAAATTAAAACTTTATCAAAATCAAACTTCAATTAAATTTTTTCCTTTAATTTAATTTTTTCCTTGAAAATTATTGAAATTTCGGAAAAAAAAATACCAACTTCAGCAACCGATTTTGCTAGATAATAAGCAGAAGTGCTATAAATTCTTGAACAGCAATGTTCACGTAAAAATATTGGTAATTCTGATGTAATTATCTGTAACAGAAATTAGTGTCACATCAAATAGTTTTTGGTGTATGTGACAAAAAATTGATTTATTATTTTTGAAATTTTAAGAAAGTTAATAAATAGATTGAATGAATGGACGATGAATACAATAAGTAATATCTGACAAATAACCTGGATTATACCATTTGTAGTTAATAACGGTTCAAAAAAAATTTGATAAATGATGATTGATAATTTTTGTTTTTGATAAATTTAATAAAGGATAAATGACCCATTAACATTTCCAAAAAAAAAAAAAAAAAAAAGGTTAATAACGGTGTAAAACTAACATTGATAGATGGAAAGAGAAAAATGAAATTCATATCACGTATGGTATTATACAGTATACCTTCCAAATTCATTATAGTTGGACCTGTTATTTGTGTTTGAAAATTTACCATTCCTATGGCTAATGCAGTAACCTGGAAAATTTTTTGAAAATTTAAACAAATGATTGACCATAAATTTCAAATTTATTAATAAGTAATGGATAAGTAATGCAAATTTTATTTATACTTTGCACATACTTATCATGTAGATATTTGACAAACATTTGACATTCCAAGTGCGCATTTCAAACTGAACTATTAGCGCCTGTCCTCATTCATCTTCTTCTAATTGAAAAAAAAAGACATTTCTTTTTCAATATTTAAAATATTTGAACTTACGATGATTTGAATGAATTTCACTTTTAATAGCAATGGATCACGCATTGTTGTGAGGAAAGAACGTCGAACAAGAATTCGAAATTGTGATAAAAATGATACAGCATACCTTAAAATTTGCATTTAGTCTAATGAACTTAATGTATTCATAAATGTTTGAATAAACAAACAAATAATCGAATAAATTTTGAAAATTATTTTAGGAAAGAACTTTTGCGCTTAAATTTAATCATTAAAAAAAAAAAGTGAATTCAGGATTATAGGCTTGTTACTATTCCTTTTGTTTGTTTTATTTTTGTATGACAAAAGATGCGCAAGTGTATTTAATTCAGGAACTAATATTTAAAAGATACTTATTGTTAATTTTCTTCCCTTAACTATTACCATTAGCAAAATTTACATTTCTCTCTTTTTTAAATCTTTATTTCCGATCACTTTCAATGGTAAACCTTGGCCACGTGACTTTCGTTGTAATGTCATACCAAATGTTGACTCCTCAAATTCGTTTCGAATTTTCTATAAAAATTTATTACGAATTTCATACGAACTGATTTAAATGTATTTTTTAAATTCCTTATTTGGCAAAAAAATAGAAAAAGAAAAATTATGTACTTTTGAATTAGTTGAAATTTATGGAATGTTAAAGTCAAAGATGAAAGTTCAAGTATCATTTGTGATGCAAATCAAATTCAAAGATTACGTCTTTTGAATTTTGATAACAAAAAAATTTTCCATCTAAGTGTTAAAAAATATTCTTAATTTGAAATGAAAAAGAAATTATCATGGAAAAAATATTGCCAAGAAGTGTTGTTTAAAGTACAAGAAAAGTAAGCAAAA